CCAGACTTCTGGTTAGCAATCAGATGCCTTAGGCACTACACTACCAGAGCTCCCAAAAGCAACTAAGTAGACCTAGCTATGAGTCGGGTCCGACTCGACGGCAAACAACAACAACAACAACAAAAGACCTAGCTTTGAATTCTACCTGTCATGTAATCTTTATTAAAAATTCACTTTAACATAATTCAGTGGCATTAATAAATATATTGTTTCTTTCTTTTCATAAATATTTATTAAAAGCCTAAGATATATTGGAACTCTGCTAAACTTGAAACATACAGATGAATTTTCTCATCTATACAATTAGGAAAAATAGATTTGACTCATAGGGATTAAATTAAAAGGAAGATAGCATGGCATTAACTTGGCACCATATCCAATAAGTAGTTACTGTTTATTAAGAATTTCCATCACCATTGAAAGTCAATCCAGGAATGTAATCTACTCAAAGGAAGAGACTGTTTCTTGTTCACTGCTGTACCACTAGCACCCAGAAGAGTGCTAACATGCATAAGCTGCATACTAACTGCCTATTGAACAATGCATCCCTTCTTACTTCTACCTCCATAAATAAGTCTCTATTCGACCGAGGAAGTATCTCTCAGGCCATTCTCTCTCTAACACTGCTACAAAGGAAAATTCCAGAAGGAAATAAAATTGTCACCATCAAATATTAGGTGTATCTACCAAATAACTAATCTTTCTGCCAAATAGACAATAATGAACCTAATATTCACTACAAATTTAAATTCATTTTGCCATATTTTTATCATCAACTCAAATGTTGCTTCTCAAGGCCTACTACTCTCTTCCCTGTAAGGTCTTTTATTCATTAGTAAACTATGCCTTAACCTCCATCCCAATACAGACTTCTTCATCCCATCAACTACTTTATCTCTTGTTCTCCAGTCCTTATATATATTTCTTGATGGGGAAAATGTATAGTATATTTAATGATTAAGATTTCTCTGATAAGTGCTCCATTTAAAAAAAAAAAATGTCAACTTTGTTGCCATCAAATCAATTCTGACTCATGGCCACCAAGCTGTTACAGAGTAGACCTGCTCCATAGAGTTTTCTTCGCTGTAAACTTGATTGAAGCAGGTAACAAGACCTTTATTCTGTGGTGATGCTAGATGGATTTGAACCACCAGCCTTCAAGTTTGTAGTCAAGTGCAAACCATTTACACCACCCAGGCACTTAGTGCTTCATATGCTAAACCTTGAATAGTTATAAATATACCAAGAAAAAAAATTAACAAAACACTAAATTACTTACCTATTTTGGAATCCATACTCTCCAAGTTGCTCAAAAAGTTCACAATTGTTTTTGACTAAACTCATAGGCTCATCAACAAGGGGTTTAAATTCATCAAACTGAAAGATTAAAAAAAAATTGTGTTTATTGTATTGCATCTGAGGACCAGATGCAGGTCATTTCTCACTGCTTTTGGCAGAAGGAGATCTTTCCTCCTTTCTGCCCAAAGCCACATTAATCTGATGCCAAATCTATCACATTACATTTGAACCCTTTATTTTAATTGCTGAGGTTGTGTAGTGTAAACACTTAAAAAAACTACTCAGAAAAAAACCCCTAAAAAAAAAAAAAAAAAAGAATATTATTAAGGCTCTGAAGTTCACTTATTGATATTTGAGCCAAATCATCTGACTCATTTTCTTTCTGGAACTTACCATTGCTAAGCAGCAGAATCCTCATCTACAAAATAGGAATAAAGATAGACCTCAAAGCATTGCTTGGTGAACCGACTTAGCCAATGAAATTAAAACAATGCCTGGCACATAGTAAAGGGTCCCTGGTGGCAGAATGGTTAAGAACTTAACCACTTTTTGTTTTGCTAACAAAAAGTTCAACTGTTCAAACCCACCAGCCTGTCCTGGAAAGAAAGATATAGCAGTCTGCTTCTGTAAAGATTTATAGCCTTAGAAATTCTGTGGAGCAGTTCTCCTCCTATGAGCTTGCTATGACTCAGCATCAACTCGACAGTAGTGGGTTTGGTTTTTCTCTTTAAGTAGCACACAGTAAAGCTAAATAATTGATGGTTAAAATTGTAACTATCAATATTATTAATCCATCTCTCCAGTTGGATCCTAAATTCTCTGAGATGAGAGATTTGGCCTTGGTCATGAGTGCCAGTATGGTACCTGACATATAGCCATTCTTGGTAAAGAAAAGAATGACTTTCTTCTGATTCAGAATAGTTTGGAAAGCATTGGATATGCTTGTAAGGGACCTAAAAATCCCCTGGAACTGGTTTACTGGTTTATTCTGCTTACATAATTTCTTGCCAAAACATACCTAAACTTCTCCAAAAAAATTTAAAATTTTCTAAAGGAATTGATTCTCCAACCTTTCTTAAGATACTAATTCTAGTGTTGTTATTGTTGTTGTTAGGTGCCATAGAGTCAGTTCTGACTCATAATGACACTATCCACAACAGAATGAAACACTCACTGGTCCTGTGCCATCCTTAAAGTCTTTTTGCAGCCAATGTGTCAATTCATCTGAGAGTCTTCCCCTTTTAACTGATTCTCTGCTTTACTAAGCTGATGTCCTTCTCCAGGGACTGGTCTCCCCTGATAACGTGACCAAAGTGAGTGAGATGAAATCTCACCAACCTCACCTCTAAAGAACATTCTGGCTGTACTTCTTCCAAGATAGATAAATTTTGGAACCAGAGATATTTTCTTTATATCTGAGTTCAATCTTTTAACTAACATTTAAGTTTACTATGAGCTCTGGTAGCATAGTGGCTAAAGCACTTGACTGCTAACCAGAAGGCTGGCGGTTCAAACCCACCAGCCACTCCTCGGAAGGAAGGTTGGGCAATCCTACTTCCGTAGTGATACTGCCCGGAAACCCAAGGAGGGGTCGCTATGAGTCGGGGCCGACTTGACAGCACCTAACAACAACAACAACATGCCTCTTTCTGTTCTTGGGAATATGTGGGGGTGGGGAGAACATGGTCAAGGTTTTGTGTTTTTAGAGATTGCTGTCTTCAGAGTTTTCTTTTCTGGGTTAACTATTCTATATTTTATTAACCATTTTGCTTAAGATCATTTTTTCTATAATGTTTAAGAACAGAATTGAAAACTATCTCAAGAGCTAAATTCTGTTACATATCACTTCTTCTTGCATTATTTTTCTTTGCCATTATTGGAATCATCAGTCCAAGAGTCAGATTTTTTTTTTTCTTGTGAGAAACCTACCACATGGGCATAACATGCATGAGGATCAGCAGTGGCACAGCACTGCTCCAGTTTGGCTTCATATGCCTTGGCAAGTCTCAACAGCAGAACGACAGAGTACTCAGGGTGCCTTCTTGAATATTCATACAAAAACCTAATTAAGATGAAAACAGGTTTAGTTGGATAAATGAGCAAGATAAATCACAAAACTAACCTCGAGTGTAATTCATATTCCAAAGGTGTCTATTTGACTAAACGCTATGCAGTAAAGACAGTGGCTAAGAGGTTGGATGGAGATCTAGAGTTAAAGTTGCCTGGGTTCAAAGCTTTGGTAGCACAGTACCCAAGACATCTGACTGCTAACCAGAAGATTGGTGGTTCAAACCCATCAGCCACTCCAGGGAAGCAAGACGGGGCAATCTACTTCCACAAAGATTTGGTGTGATTTAGTGACCCCCAATGGGGTCACTATGAGTCAGAATCTACTCAACAGCAGTGCATTTGTTTTTTGTTTGTTTGTTTGTTTGTTCATTTTTGGTTTGGGTTCAAATTTTAGTTCTATAAATTATTTTACTATGTCACCTTAGGCAACTTACTAAAACCACTGGAGCCTAAATTTTCTCTTCTTTAGAATGAGGATAATAAGGTTATTTAATTTATAAGGTAGATTGTTGTGCAAAGTAAATGACATAATCTATGCAAAATACACCGGCACATAGTACATTTTTTTGAGTGATACCTGTTATTATTATGAATATTTTGTTTGATTTGAATAATACCTCATGAAGTTTCTGAATTAAAGGGTTAGTCTTAATGCCACTCATTGAACTCTCGATACTTATGCTAGAGACAGAGAGAGAGACAGAGGATAGTCTTAAAGTTTTCATTTTCCTCTCTGTGTAAGTGAAATTTTATAGAGTGTATCATGTTATGAAATATTATTTAGTGCATAGGATACTATAATAATCCAGCAACAAAAAAACAAGGTTTATTATCATGCTTATCTACTATGTATAATAATTTATTTTGTCATTGAATTGTATGGCCTTGCCCTGTCGCTGAACTTTTGGTTTTCTCAATCAAATATAAAACATCTATTGGCAGACTCCATGTCTTATATTTTTGATATACTATTTAGTCCCTTTTCTGTCTGTCATTACAGATATGTCTATATATACATGTACATATACATACATACATTATAGGTATTCAAGAACTATGCTTTGAGTGAATAAGCAAAAGAATGAGTAATAGGTATATATTTACATATTTATGAAATGTTCCTAGAAAGATATTTCCAGAAATAACCTGAAGAAGTAAGGAATGATTTGGAAGTATAAAATGAAGAATTTTTATTTATTATTTTATACTCACCTGAATTGGTTGAGCTTTTGTTGTGAGCATATATTATTTTATGATAATTTTTTAAACTATGATAATTTTTTAAAATAACTTTGGATCAAGAAAAGGATAAGAAACATCCTGGATAACATGAAAATTGTAGCAACTCCAAAGGGAAATCTAGTACAGAGATATTCCTCAACCACTTACGTGCCCAGGAAGACATCTTTTGCCTCAGCATAGTTTTTGCATACATCTTTGTCCTCGACAAAATCTGCAGTTAATGGAGACAGATCAGCAGGTATATCATCGTTTTCTACCATAGAAAGGCAGTGGGATTTTTCAACCACAGGCTTCTCACAGCACTCCTTCAGTTTACTGGAGAGTGTGTCTTGATTGTCACACATATACTTGGCCAGGTTCGCCTATAAGCAAGTTGATGAAAACTGTTCAGTGTAAGTTGACATTGCTAAACGTTCTTTTCAGACTAGGAGCCCTGGGGGCACAGTGATTAAAGTGCTTGGCTGCTTCGAACTCAACATTTGCTCTACAGGAGAAAGATGGGGCAGTCTGCTTCCACAAAGATTATAGCCTTGGAAACTCTATGAGGCCATACTACTCTATCCTATAGGGTCATCATGAGAGGAATTGTCTTGACAACAGGTTTACTTTGGTTTAGCTTCCTTCAGACTATAATATATTGACCTAGGTCATCGTTTCCTAGGGCCATACACTGTGTATACTAGTGTGCCTTCCATGAACCTATTCTCAGTCTGCTACTAACAATGGAGATTCAGGTAGAACTACTCAAAAGTTTCCACTTGATTAAAAAAGAGAGGCCAGTAACAGGTCCTCATATTATTTATTTACTTTGTATTTATACTGTTAAGGTCTTAAATTTTGTTTTCATTAAAACTCATGCTATTTTTCTAAATACTCCCCCAAAATGGAATGTAGACATTTTGAAATAAATAAAATTAGTGTGAGAGATTTTTGAAAAGTTAATGAAGACCATAGTTACAAGCCCTACTTACAATATAAAATATCGTATCTAAAGTTTTCAAGAAAGTAGCATGAGAAGTTAGGATTCTGACATTTGATCATATTCATAAACCTTGAAGAAATATAGAAAATATTAGACATTTATGTAAAACTGATGTCATGCCAAATATTTGTATATTGATGCAGAGTTAATTAAGAGAGGGAATATACAGATGTCTATCACTTCCTAAAGTTTCTTTAGGTACACACCCTTCTGCAAGCCCATCCATTCCCTAAAAGAATCTTTTTAGGAATCTATCTTTATAGCTCTCCTCCTTCAATTTAAGATGTTTTTTCTCAGCTACAATATGACTGAAAGGGGTTACAAATCAGTACATGACTATATTAGGTCATTTACTGAGTAGAATAATAATCGTCATTGAGTCAATATTGACTCATGGCTATCCTGTGCTTGTCAGAGTATAACTGTGCTCCATGGAGTTTTCAATTATTGATTTTTCAAAAGTAGATCACCTGACCTTTCTTCTGAGGGGCCTCTGAGTGGACTCAAACTTCCAACCTTTTGGTCAGCAGCTGAGCACATTAAGTTTTTGCACCACCCAGGGACCAAACCAGGAGCTCTGGTAGCATAGTACCTGAGGCACTTGACTGCTAACCAGAAGGCTGGTGGTTCAAATCC